ATTAAAAACTCAACGATTCCTCAAGGAAGAAATCAGTAAAGAGCAATCATCGACCCTCAATTCAGATTTACAGTCTGAAACGCCACATCACAGCTTCAAGAAAAATATATTTTTTTCATTTTAACCAAAATTGTTATGTCTTTGATTGAACAACCCGCATTATGACTGTAGCCTATATAACATCTGTTCCAGTGTTTTCAAGAAGTTAAGGCAAATTAAGTGTACGGTTTAAGAGACAACATAAATAGCAGTACTGTACATCCATGAGTGAAAATTTTGAAATATACGTTTATATGTCCCTGGCCTTTTACTTCGTGATACTGAATATGTAGTTTATCATTATGTGTTTTATATTTTTTGGGACGGGGCAGCATATTACACACAATTATTTGGCTTTAAATATGTTCGAAGTATTTTATTTTATTTTTAAAGTCTCGAAACTCACGGCCATCACGTGTCCCTAGGGTACATTTTGCAACTTTCATGCTGTTTTTAGAATAATTATTCATGCCGAAATATGTAACGTAATATTTTTATTACATCAATAGTTATTAAACTTATGAAAAAGGAGCATATGATAATTTTGTTTTCATTGTAAACTGACTACCATGACTAAATAGGTCTGTCCCTCGATTTGACGTCATGACCATTAGGGAAAAATTTGCAACTTTGAGCACGACAGTGGCAAGCCTGGTGTCGATGGAGTCAGTTGGTTTTAGAGTTTTAGAGACTAGTTTGGGGTGTAGGTTAGGATTGTAGTGCCGGTGGTTTCGAGTTGAAAGGAGGAATTACAAGATTAATAAAGGCAAGTTTGTTTTTTTTTTTTATTTGGTGTGTCCATGACCGTACGGAGTCATTCGATGAAGTAGACCATATGGTGTTAATTTTTGTTTATAAGATATATCAATTGCTAGATTAACCTAGAAGTCCACTTTGTATCCTCGAACATGAGGTGCAGGGCTACCGCCAGAACCGAGCCAAATAACACGTAATGTCAGGACCAAAGTTTCACGACCATCGCGGGTTTTTCACGACCAATCCAGCCTTATGGATTATACTGTGTTTGGTCGTGACAATAACTTAAATATCATTGTAAATTGAACAGTTTAGTTCAATTGAAACACATATTTTTATTATAACCAACAGTATAATTGAAGGATTGTTTAGAAGATTTAGATTACTCCAGAAAATTCACCACCGTACCGCTTGTCCCTGACCATCACGTTTATGATTTCTATCATACAAATTTCAAAAATTAAAATATCATCATATTTCAATGTTTTATACACAAAAGAAGCACACCTCCATAAAAACATAACGATTTCTCGGGTCTCAGTAAGTTTTTTCAGAGTTATACAAATTTAAAAAAGATTATATTGGCTTTTTTCAATTTTTTGAGATTTTATTTCTAGAAAGACCAAATATAACAAAAGCTTAGTGAGCTGTTTATTGTATAATGGCCTTAAAAGTAAATTAATTAATAGCAAAACACAGTTATAAAAATAATATTAACTATTTTTAATATTCAGTTTTATGTCCGTGATGGTCATGACAAAATTTTGTGTTTTTCCATCAAAGATGCTCTATTAATAAAAAATCACCAAAGATATTGTGTTACCATGGACATTTTATGAAATTTCAAATGTAAATGAAATAAAAAAAAACAATAAAAGTTTCAAAAAACGGAACAAAAATTTTAAAAGTGCTTTTCCTGAAAACGTACGTTTCAAAATTTTCACTCCCATTTGTCACAAGAGATTGTAAAATATTATTTTACAGAGAGACAATAGATTAAGCAACACAATTAAATGCGTCCCTATTTCAGGTTAAAGAGTTTTTAATCATCTACCTAACAGCTGTAAGGGACTTGCCTCTATTTCAAGATCCATTGTAGTAAGTGGTAAAGGAGTGGTTGCTATATAACTTACTAGCAGAGTACCCGTCCTTCGTACGGGGTTGGCATATAAGTATAAATGCTTATTGTAGTTATGGGAGAGGACACGGTTTAAGAAAATTTTGTCTTTTAATTTATACGGTATCCTATAGTGTCCTACAGTATCTACCATAGCCCTAATTTTCTACCACTGCACCTAAACCATGAAAAAAAGTTAAGTTCTCATTGTGTACCACAACTTTTTGTCACATTACTTGTCACAAACATCCATCCATCCATCCATACATCCAAACTTTCTTACTTATAATATTAGTAGGATAAGTAAACTGTTGTAATATTGCTTGTTTATGGATCAATTTTTATCAAACTTGGCAAATGTATTTATTTCATAGTAAGCTAATGATATGTTCCTTAAAATCACACTTCGTTGCCCTCCCTGTAGCAGCAAAAACCTAGGTACTCGTTAAACCTAATGTTATCGTTGGTGCAATTAGTAGCGCCATTTGAACAGCTACTGCAAATCAGCGCTACTATTCTATTTGCTAGCAGCTATACCCGGGCCTTGCATCGGGGTCAGTATGCAAAAGAGACAATGTTGGTTCTTAGAAACATGCAAATGGTTTTCCAAATGCCAAATTTAGAAACAAAATTTAACTGTACTACTTAACTTGATAATAGTACGTTTTTGTTAAATCTTACTGTGATTACTTATTTATGCTACCTACCATACAAAACCAAAGATAGATTTTAAGGTATATAATAAAAGAATGTATTTCATGGTTTGCACTGTAAACGAAAAACTATCACAATAAAACCTCATAAAACTCAGAATTAAGAGCCTAGATTGATAGGGCAATGATTATAGAATCTTAATTATTTCCTATATCCATGAACAATTTTTTTACAACGAATTATTCCCTCTAAAATATTATTACAGCATTTCACAAATATTAGAACAGACTCAGTATAATAGATCATAAACATAAACAAATGAAGTAACTAAAAGATTCATATACTAATGAAATTCAAATTATATTAACATATGGTTTGACAGCTCCATTTAAGTAATGTCAAATAATGTTTACATTCGGGCTAGTGACATCATTATTTTAAATTTATAATCCTTACCTTCTCTGTTCTAATATTCGTGCAGTATTTAATATGTTTGAACCAGCTGTGTGGAAATATGAAATCAACATTCATTTGACAGTTAGTTCTGCTTGTTACATTTTTAAACTTTGTAGGTTTGTTCTTTGTTACCATGGATACCATCAATCAATATTTACTTTTAAATCTCTCACCTCAAATTTTTGAAAGCCCACGGGGCAGAGCCCTAGGACAATATCGAAGCGGGAATAGTTCTATATGTATCCTCGGAGCTGTAGCTTCATTTGTGTGCAATTTGAGCCCAGTCGGTTCAGTAGTTTTTGAGATTACCTCATACAAACACATACAGACACCACCTCTTCTTTATAATAGTACTAGCAGAGTACCCGTCCTTCGTACGGGGTTGGCATATAAGTATCAAATGCTTATAGCAGTTATGAGTGAGGACATGGTTTAAGAAATTTCGGTTCTTTTTGAAGTTCGTTCGCTACGCTCACTCACCTTTAGGTTGGAGCTCGTTCGCTGCGCTCACTTTCCTTCAGTTTAGCTCGTTCGCTACGCTCACTTGCCTTCAGGTTAGCTCGTTCGCTACGCTCACTCGCCTCCAGGTTGAAGTTCGTTCGCTACGCTCACTCACCTTTTGCTGTTGTCATAAATGTAAAAGAAATAATAGTGCTAGTGCTGCACCCTGTTGGTAATCCTTGTAACTTTTAATGCTATTGAACATCATAGAACAGAACCAACTTGTTTAATTGAAACAGCTGTTAAGATTCATTAATTCCATTTCTCATAAGGTTAACATGGGAAACTCCAGAGCCACTGGGGCGGAGCCCCGAAGGATTTTTGGGATAAAAATATGCCTATATGTTAATCGGGAATGTGAGCTATCATCATGCCAAATTTCAGCCCGATCCGACCAGTAGTTTTTGAGATTAGCTCATACAAACACACACACAGACACCACCTCTTCTTTATAATAGTATAGATAGATAGATAGATTTTTATAATCTAGTTGAATTATCTATGTAATCTGCTTTTATTTTAGGGAACAATTTACACTGTGCTGAATGGTCCAATTGTCTGAATTTGCATGGGGTTTCTTTTATTTTGATTTTGCATGGTTTTGTTATTCTTCCTTAGTTGTGATCATTGACTAGTAGATACTGAGAAGTGTATTAATAGTCAATGGTTGTGATACAAGATGGACTGATATGTAATGTGACATTTTACCATCACTGTATGTTGAAGGAACAAATAAAATAATTTAATCATCTTCCCACTTTAGATAAACAGTAGACATAATTTAAAACCATTGTAGAATAAACCTTGTCTACAGATGTGCTACAACAGACCTAGATCCACGGCCACCTTTAACTACAGGCTGCAGCCTGGTAGAATTGGCAACGTCGCAAGTAGGGTTGTTTTGTGTCAGACGTCCCATAAGATAACATGGCAGACAGGTAACATCACCTCATTAATTCGCACCTTATTGATTTAAATTTAAATTTATGAACATAAATTTATTAAAATATTGAAAATAAAACATACAGAATTGAAAACCAAAACAATATGAATTAAAAAACTATATCTGTACATTTAAAGCGGAGTCAATATTTCCATAGTCCAGTAACCAAGCTTTTGTAAATACACAAATTAATACCATTAGCTGCTTCCAACCCTACTTGCGACGTTGCCACTTCGAAGTCGATGTGGCCTGGAGTTAAAGGCGGCCGTACCTAGAGCAGAATACCTGTACATGGCCATGACCCAGCCAGGAGAACAGAAGCCACACTGAGTGCCATAGAACTGTGCTAGTCTTGTTTGTACAGGATGGTAGCCCTGCTGTCTGCTGCCAATGCCTTCCACTGTTGTCACTGACATGCCTTGACATGCGTACACATATATGACCAGTGAAACATATATGACCAGTGCCTGTATCCTGTGTACGCATGTCAAGGCATGTCAGTGACAACAGTGGAAGGCATTGGCAGCAGACAGCAGGGCTACCATCCTGTACAAACAAGACTAGCACAGTTCTATGGCACTCAGTGTGGCTTCTGTTCTCCTGGCTGGGTCATGGCCATGTACAGGTATTCTGCTCTAGGTACGGCCGCCTTTAACTCCAGGCCACATCGACTTCGAAGTGGCAACGTCGCAAGTAGGGTTGGAAGCAGCTAATGGTATTAATTTGTGTATTTACAAAAGCTTGGTTACTGGACTATGGAAATATTGACTCCGCTTTAAATGTACAGATATAGTTTTTTAATTCATATTGTTTTGGTTTTCAATTCTGTATGTTTTATTTTCAATATTTTAATAAATTTATGTTCATAAATTTAAATTTAAATCAATAAGGTGCGAATTAATGAGGTGATGTTACCTGTCTGCCATGTTATCTTATGGGACGTCTGACACAAAACAACCCTACTTGCGACGTTGCCAATTCTACCAGGCTGCAGCCTGTAGTTAAAGGTGGCCGTGGATCTAGGTCTGTTGTAGCACATCTGTAGACAAGGTTTATTCTACAATGGTTTTAAATTATGTCTACTGTTTATCTAAAGTGGGAAGATGATTAAATTATTTTATTTGTTCCTTCAACATACAGTGATGGTAAAATGTCACATTACATATCAGTCCATCTTGTATCACAACCATTGACTATTAATACACTTCTCAGTATCTACTAGTCAATGATCACAACTAAGGAAGAATAACAAAACCATGCAAAATCAAAATAAAAGAAACCCCATGCAAATTCAGACAATTGGACCATTCAGCACAGTGTAAATTGTTCCCTAAAATAAAAGCAGATTACATAGATAATTCAACTAGATTATAAAAATCTATCTATCTATCTATACTATTATAAAGAAGAGGTGGTGTCTGTGTGTGTGTTTGTATGAGCTAATCTCAAAAACTACTGGTCGGATCGGGCTGAAATTTGGCATGATGATAGCTCACATTCCCGATTAACATATAGGCATATTTTTATCCCAAAAATCCTTCGGGGCTCCGCCCCAGTGGCTCTGGAGTTTCCCATGTTAACCTTATGAGAAATGGAATTAATGAATCTTAACAGCTGTTTCAATTAAACAAGTTGGTTCTGTTCTATGATGTTCAATAGCATTAAAAGTTACAAGGATTACCAACAGGGTGCAGCACTAGCACTATTATTTCTTTTACATTTATGACAACAGCAAAAGGTGAGTGAGCGTAGCGAACGAACTTCAACCTGGAGGCGAGTGAGCGTAGCGAACGAGCTAACCTGAAGGCAAGTGAGCGTAGCGAACGAGCTAAACTGAAGGAAAGTGAGCGCAGCGAACGAGCTCCAACCTAAAGGTGAGTGAGCGTAGCGAACGAACTTCAAAAAGAACCGAAATTTCTTAAACCATGTCCTCACTCATAACTGCTATAAGCATTTGATACTTATATGCCAACCCCGTACGAAGGACGGGTACTCTGCTAGTACTATTATAAAGAAGAGGTGGTGTCTGTATGTGTTTGTATGAGGTAATCTCAAAAACTACTGAACCGACTGGGCTCAAATTGCACACAAATGAAGCTACAGCTCCGAGGATACATATAGAACTATTCCCGCTTCGATATTGTCCTAGGGCTCTGCCCCGTGGGCTTTCAAAAATTTGAGGTGAGAGATTTAAAAGTAAATATTGATTGATGGTATCCATGGTAACAAAGAACAAACCTACAAAGTTTAAAAATGTAAACAAGCAGAACTAACTGTCAAATGAATGTTGATTTCATATTTCCACACAGCTGGTTCAAACATATTAAATACTGCACGAATATTAGAACAGAGAAGGTAAGGATTATAAATTTAAAATAATGATGTCACTAGCCCGAATGTAAACATTATTTGACATTACTTAAATGGAGCTGTCAAACCATATGTTAATATAATTTGAATTTCATTAGTATATGAATCTTTTAGTTACTTCATTTGTTTATGTTTATGATCTATTATACTGAGTCTGTTCTAATATTTGTGAAATGCTGTAATAATATTTTAGAGGGAATAATTCGTTGTAAAAAAATTGTTCATGGATATAGGAAATAATTAAGATTCTATAATCATTGCCCTATCAATCTAGGCTCTTATTCTGAGTTTTATGAGGTTTATTGTGATAGTTTTTCGTTTACAGTGCAAACCATGAAATACATTCTTTTATTATACCTTAAAATCTATCTTTGGTTTTGTATGGTAGGTAGCATAAATAAGTAATCACAGTAAGATTTAACAAAAACGTACTATTATCAAGTTAAGTAGTACAGTTAAATTTTGTTTCTAAATTTGGCATTTGGAAAACCATTTGGCATGTTTCTAAGAACCAACATTGTCTCTTTTGCATACTGACCCCGATGCAAGGCCCGGGTATAGCTGCTAGCAAATAGAATAGTAGCGCTGATTTGCAGTAGCTGTTCAAATGGCGCTACTAATTGCACCAACGATAACATTAGGTTTAACGAGTACCTAGGTTTTTGCTGCCTACAGGGAGGGCAACGAAGTGTGATTTTAAGGAACATATCATTAGCTTACTATGAAATAAATACATTTGCCAAGTTTGATAAAAATTGATCCATAAACAAGCAATATTACAACAGTTTACTTATCCTACTAATATTATAAGTAAGAAAGTTTGGATGTATGGATGGATGGATGGATGTTTGTGACAAGTAATGTGACAAAAAGTTGTGGTACACAATGAGAACTTAACTTTTTTTCATGGTTTAGGTGCAGTGGTAGAAAATTAGGGCTATGGTAGATACTGTAGGACACTATAGGATACCGTATAAATTAAAAGACAAAATTTTCTTAAACCGTGTCCTCTCCCATAACTACAATAAGCATTTATACTTATATGCCAACCCCGTACGAAGGACGGGTACTCTGCTAGTAAGTTATATAGCAACCACTCCTTTACCACTTACTACAATGGATCTTGAAATAGAGGCAAGTCCCTTACAGCTGTTAGGTAGATGATTAAAAACTCTTTAACCTGAAATAGGGACGCATTTAATTGTGTTGCTTAATCTATTGTCTCTCTGTAAAATAATATTTTACAATCTCTTGTGACAAATGGGAGTGAAAATTTTGAAACGTACGTTTTCAGGAAAAGCACTTTTAAAATTTTTGTTCCGTTTTTTGAAACTTTTATTGTTTTTTTTTATTTCATTTACATTTGAAATTTCATAAAATGTCCATGGTAACACAATATCTTTGGTGATTTTTTATTAATAGAGCATCTTTGATGGAAAAACACAAAATTTTGTCATGACCATCACGGACATAAAACTGAATATTAAAAATAGTTAATATTATTTTTATAACTGTGTTTTGCTATTAATTAATTTACTTTTAAGGCCATTATACAATAAACAGCTCACTAAGCTTTTGTTATATTTGGTCTTTCTAGAAATAAAATCTCAAAAAATTGAAAAAAGCCAATATAATCTTTTTTAAATTTGTATAACTCTGAAAAAACTTACCTGAGACCCGAGAAATCGTTATGTTTTTATGGAGGTGTGCTTCTTTTGTGTATAAAACATTGAAATATGATGATATTTTAATTTTTGAAATTTGTATGATAGAAATCATAAACGTGATGGTCAGGGACAAGCGGTACGGTGGTGAATTTTCTGGAGTAATCTAAATCTTTCTAAACAATCCTTCAATTATACTGTTGGTTATAATAAAAATATGTGTTTCAATTGAACTAAACTGTTCAATTTACAATGATATTTAAGTTATTGTCACGACCAAACACAGTATAATCCATAAGGCTGGATTGGTCGTGAAAAACCCGCGATGGTCGTGAAACTTTGGTCCTGACATTACGTGTTATTTGGCTCGGTTCTGGCGGTAGCCCTGCACCTCATGTTCGAGGATACAAAGTGGACTTCTAGGTTAATCTAGCAATTGATATATCTTATAAACAAAAATTAACACCATATGTCTACTTCATCGAATGACTCCGTACGGTCATGGACACACCAAAATAAAAAAAAAAAACAAACTTGCCTTTATTAATCTTGTAATTCCTCCTTTCAACTCGAAACCACCGGCACTACAATCCTAACCTACACCCCAAACTAGTCTCTAAAACTCTAAAACCAACTGACTCCATCGACACCAGGCTTGCCACTGTCGTGCTCCAAAGTTGCAAATTTTTCCCTAATGGTCATGACGTCAAATCGAGGGACAGACCTATTTAGTCATGGTAGTCAGTTTACAATGAAAACAAAATTATCATATGCTCCTTTTTCATAAGTTTAATAACTATTGATGTAATAAAAATATTACGTTACATATTTCGGCATGAATAATTATTCTAAAAACAGCATGAAAGTTGCAAAATGTACCCTAGGGACACGTGATGGCCGTGAGTTTCGAGACTTTAAAAATAAAAATAAAATACTTCGAACATATTTAAAGCCAAATAATTGTGTGTAATATGCTGCCCCGTCCCAAAAAATATAAAACACATAATGATAAACTACATATTCAGTATCACGAAGTAAAAGGCCAGGGACATATAAACGTATATTTCAAAATTTTCACTCATGGATGTACAGTACTGCTATTTATGTTGTCTCTTAAACCGTACACTTAATTTGCCTTAACTTCTTGAAAACACTGGAACAGATGTTATATAGGCTACAGTCATAATGCGGGTTGTTCAATCAAAGACATAACAATTTTGGTTAAAATGAAAAAAATTATATTTTTCTTGAAGCTGTGATGTGGCGTTTCAGACTGTAAATCTGAATTGAGGGTCGATGATTGCTCTTTACTGATTTCTTCCTTGAGAATCGTTGAGTTTTTAATGTTTGAGTCATGAGCATAGTTGAACTTAAATGGCTTAGCTTTTTGGATATATACCTATCTGAAAGAAAACTTAAGCCGTATTTACAGGAAGACATTTGGCAGGCAGGTTACTTGCCTCAGGTAACTTGAAATACTCTAAGAGTCAGGTAACTTGAAATACTCTAAGAGTCAGGTAACTTGAAATACTCTAAGAGTCAGGTAACCTGCCTGCTCTACTGGCCTCGTGTAAACACAGGCTTTATTGTTTCATTTTATTTTAAACTTATGTCCAAAAATGGGTATTGAAAATATTGACATTTTTACTGCTTAAAGTGTCCCTGAAAGCTGGCTTTAGAAGCCATGCACATTTTATCAATTGGACATTTTATTAATTCTGCAAACTCTTCTGTTTCTTACCAAATTGAGTAGGCCTACCAAAAGACTTAAAAAGTTTTTGGATTGACACATTTTGATGTGCAATAATCATTTGTTAAAGCAATTTATTTATTTTTAGTTTACTAAAATCCAATAAGAACATGTCAATGAGAGATATTGAAGAATCCTTTGGAAGCAACAATTGCAGATGTACAGGATATCGACCGATCTTGGATGCTTTTAAAAGTTTTGCCGAGGACAGCCCTCCCGCTGTGATGGATAAGATAAATGATATTGAGGTAATATTCCCATCTTATACCATAGTTTGAGCTCTACAGTCTGATATATATTGGACACAATAAGAGCAACATCACCAAACTTTCACTTACAAATAACTACAGGCGACGCCGCGGTCATTGCCACGGACCTAGGTATACAATTTAATCTTACACAGACCCTCTATCACTTGGTTAACAGTACACACAGACCACAGGTGAAAACCTGTAAAATTGTAGATTGTAACAGATTCGACGCTTCGGGCATCTACAAAATCAATTGTAACGATTGTGATAGCTTCTTCATTGGACAGACTGTGAACTTCGTCAACCGCTTCAAAAATCACATATCTGCATGGAGAAACAACAAACCAGAAAGATCAAATGTCGCACAACATCTATTACAAAATGGACACTCAATAGGAAAAATGGAGGATAATCTATGTATTTTGAAGAATTGTAAGAAAGGATATGTAATGAATGCTTGGGAGGAATTTTTAATCCAGTTGTACTTTTAAATACCCCCGCCGCAGCAAACCTGCAGACTAAGCGAATTTCCATTTGCCTGATTGGATTTACACTAAGGCCCCGTTTATGCACCAAGAGCGGTAGCGGTAGCGACAGTGGGAGCGATTTCTAACACCATTGAGTTAAATGGGACTGTTTATGCACGAAGAGCGAAAGCGGTAGCGGTTGACCTCCCGCTGCGGTTTCTAATTCGCCTGCTGTGTAGTTAGAAATCGCAGCGGTTGCTTGGAATAGAGCGCTTTTCAACTACATTGAGTCAAATGGGACTGTTTATGCACGGCGGGAGCGGGAGCGGCTGCAGCCAGGATTGCCAACCTGACCCACGCGCACGTGCACTTAGGACAAATAGTTGTGTTAATTATTTGGCAGAGTTTGAGTTGGCAAGACTGTGTCCCCCTTCCATTCTCCATTGACCAACCGCTATCGCTATCGCTTGCACAATTTTGACAAAATTTTTACAGCGGGATCGAGCGGGCCCGCTATCGCCCTGCTCCCGCTCTTGGTGCATAAACGTGGCCTAAAATGTCTCCTTAAAAATATCACGTTTCTTCCCTATTTAAATAACATTAGTTTAATGAGTACTTAGGTTTGTTGCAACATGGAGGGTAAAAAGGTGTTTTTTGTAAAATGTTAATAGTTTAGTATGAAATAAATGCATTTCCCAAATTTGATCAAAATATGATCATAAACAAGCAAACTACAACAGTTTACTTATTCTCCGTTAGAATAATAACATGGGAATTTTAAATTCACAGTTTTTTTGAATTTTCTCCGTAACCATTAAGCGCATAATAACGCTTCAATATACTAAATTATTTGTTTTTTTAAGCTCTACAAAATAGTTTGGAAAGAAAATGCTAAATTTTAAGTTTTTAGGGACAACAATGGGAAAACCCATTTTTTGCCCAATAAAACCCCCCATAAACCCCTGTTCCCATAGTCCGATCATGCTCGTTCGCGAACTCGTTTGAATAAACGTATGTTTACACGTTTGTACCAAATTTCATCAAAATCGGATGATTTTTGCTCGAGTTATCGCGCTAACGGACACATATATATATATATATGAATTTGAACGGATGGTGTTTTTGGCCTCAAGGGACCTCAAAACAAAAAATTAAATCGGTCCCGGGTCCAGGTCTTACCATGAGTACTACGGTAATAGCTTATTCCCTATATGGGAAATTCGCTAAAAACAGTTTTTCCAACTATCATATGACGTCACCAATCATCATATCCACAGACCAAGCGACGCAGTTGTCGGACAGACATCCCTGTAGACCACTGCAGAGAATTCAAGGCCTTCAAATAGACTGTTACAAAGATATAAGCGTTTTCATAACATTGGAACACTGACACAAATATGCGACGTACAGTCTATTTTAATGTGAAATATGTATGCTATATATATGTATATATTTGCTAGGCAGTATATGAGTAGAAACCGGCCGTCGCATATGTGCGTCGTTGGTCCATATGAATGAAAAATTTTGTACTATTGCGGTACGTAGCGAACGTGTTTTAAAGTAACCAAAACTGGAAATAAACATGTCCTATGTCTTAATAATTTATAATTAAAAAATTTTTTTAAACAAAACGTTTTTAAACGCCCTAAAAAGTAGAAAATAATTTACAAATAATTTATAAATATGTTGAGTGAGTATAAATACTTGTACGATTTAAAACGAAAAACGTGGGGTGCTTGCAATAGATAGTTTACAATTACCTTCACCTACTGAACTAATGTATTATTATCAATTAATTGCATGCACCCAACGTTTTTCATTTTAAATCGTACAAGTATTTATACTCTCTCAACATATTTATAAATTATTTGTAAATTATTTTCTATTTTTTAGGGCGTTTAAAAACGTTTTGTTTAAAAAAGTTTTTTATTTATAAATTATTTTATACTTTTTAGTTTTAATGTGTGTGCATGTTAAATCTATTTCAAGCATCTATATCAGATTAAGACAGAGGCATGTGGGAAATCTAAGGTTTATTTGAGTTTCTTTGCATATAATTATGTATTAGATTGCATGTATGGCCTAAACTATAAATATATCAATCTATTTAATCGCAATTTTTCTGAAATATAGTACTTCTCTGCAATGCATTCACTCGAAATATTTATTGTTTACTTTATGGAATACTAAATAAACAAAAATTGACATTATTTACAAACACCTTGATACCTGCAATCAGATTGTTTATCTTTATTTTGAAATGTTTGTTTGTATAAAGAATCTCTTGGGAGCATAACCTGTACCTCTTAACCTCTGCTCTTCGAACTGTCAAATTTAAGTATTTACAGCTGACTTAAATTAGTTGATATATTTACATCCTTTCAAAATGTAAACTTGAAAAATTTGGAAGCCCATGGGGCGTAGCCCAAGGGAAATATGAAAATTAAATGATATAATATTGCATTGTTATGCATTTGTGAGCTATGTTTCAAATTTCAAGTCTCTAGCTTATCGGGAACATCGTTTAAAATTGATATCAAAATTTGTAGGAAAGCGAGCTAATAAAAACAAGCCCATGAGGCGTAGCCCGAAAGGAAATATGAAAATTAAATGATATAATATTGCAATTACATCCATTTGTGAGCTATGTTTCAAATTTCAAGTCTCTAGCTCATCGGGAAGTATCAAAATTTGCAAGAAATCGATTTAATAAAAACAAGCCCATGGGGCGTAGCCCAAGGGAAATATGAAAATTAAATTGTATAATATTGCATTGTCTTCCATTTGTGAGATATGTTTCAAGTTTCAAGTCCCTAGCTCATCGGGAAGTTAGTATAAAATCGGTTGCAAAATTTGTAGCGGACAAGAAAGCGACCTAATAAAAACGTTTTAAAATTGAGCAAAACTATAGCATAGTCATGTGAACCTGATTGTCAAGTTAAGAACTACACTGTGCTTGGGATTTTGGTTAACTTATGCTTGGGGAGTGTTCAGCATACCTCTCTCATTATTTTGGTGTCTGAAGTTCCTTGGGTTCTGAGTTTGTCATTTAAAACTGTCAATGCACATGCTGTTTGTTATTTTAGGACTTATTGAAGATATGCACTAAAAGTGGAAAACCTTGTGAAAATCTGTGTAAACTTCATATTCCAAATGGCAAAGACTTCAAATGTAAGCAGGAGTCAGAGGAAGATGAAAATCTTGAACACCATTTTGCAGAAGTAGCTCTTGCTTCTCCCAAAGTGTCTATTTCTCTTCACCGAAATAGCAGCTGGTATAAAGTCTCGTCGATTGAAGAAATATTTGAAATTTTTTCAATGATTGAAGGCACATACATGTTAGTTGGAGGGAACACAGCTCAAGGTAATATCCATAAAGATTATCGTCAAATTTGAAAAGGACAATGAAAAAAATGAGAAAATTATTTATGTAAAAGATAAGTAAAATTTCCTGCAAAGGCTGAGCCACAGTCTTCATATTTTATACCTCAAACCTCGTCCCTGTATGTAATAATCGTTTTATTAATACATTTAATACTTGAAATTTCATAAGAGGATTAATCTTAGCTTATTAAAATATACAGGGTTGTCCGTAAATTAAAGGTCTCCATCAAGCTCATCCTGAGACATCCAAGCGAGATAGTTCAAACTGAGCCCATTGATGTATTCCTTACCTTCCTATACCTTACCGTACCTCCTACTTCTATTCATCTTCTATCTCCTTCTCCTATAGAACCATTAGTCTCGTCATGGACTCAAAAACATTTTGAAAGAAAATCGACACTCCCACTAAGTATAGATGATGTTCCCTGAATAAGATAAGATATCAATCAACCAATCAATCAATCAATCAAATCTTTATTCAGAACGTACAGATACATCGTACATGAATGCGTCATTATGTTATTTTTAAATAACATAAATATATTACATAAAGATAAAAGATTTATATAACAGCAGTTTTTAGATAAAATAAATACATTACTTAAAGTTAGATAAAATAAATACATTAGGTAAACTCAAATAAACCTTAGATTTCCCACATGCCTCTGTCTTCTGATATAGATGCTTGTAATATATTTAATATCCACACACATTAAAAACTAAAAAGTAGAAAATAAATTATAAATAAAAAACTTTTTAAAACAAAACGTTTTCAAACACACTAAAAAGTACAAAATAATTTATAAATATGTGGAGATTATAAATACTTTTAAGATTTAAAACGAAAAACGTGGGGTGCATGCAATAGGTAATTTACAATTACCTTCACCTATTGAAGTATTATTATCAATTGCATGCACCCCACGTTTTTCGTTTTAAATCTTAAAAGTATTTATAATCTCCACATATTTATATTATTTATAAATTATTTTATACTTTTTAGTGGGTTTGAAAACGTTTTGTTTTAACAAGTTTTTTATTTATAATTTATTTTCTACTTTTTAGTTTTTAATGTGTGTGGATATTAAATATATTACAAGCATCTATATCAGAAGACAGAGGCATGTGGGAAATCTAAGGTTTATTTGAGTTTATTTTCATATAATTATGTATTAGATTGAATGTATGGCCTTACCTACTATAGCTCGGCCGCTTAGAAAACGACCTGCGAGCTAATGCTAAACCAATGCTGGAGGAGGTTGTTTTCTAAGCAGCCGAACTATAACTATAAATATATCAATCTATTTAATTTATTGTTTACTTTATAGAATACTAAATAAATAACAGTTAACATTATTAACAAACACCTTTATACAGGGTTAGTAAAAAGTCTGGAGACCCCCTGTTAATTTTTTAACGGACCAAACTAGAAAAACTAAACTCGGCACACCTTTATGGCATGTTATGAAGTACTTTTTGGGCATAACCGCGACTTGGTGTACATCCCCAAAATAGGGCTTGTGACATTTTTGAATTAGCTGTAAAATAAAGGTTGCTAAATATAGTTAAGTGTATCGGTAGTGATTTGATTTAGCCACTCAGCTAATTTATATATTGCAGGTATCCTAGAGGACAAGTACCCTGCTCCCCCGGAGACGTACATTGATGTTAACGGAGTGGCAACACTGCGGAGTCACAGGTTTGATGGAGACAGTCTAGTGTTGGGAGCCAACATGACTCTGACAGACACAATGCGGCTGTTTGATGCTGTAGCCACGTTACAACCTGCACAGTTTAAGTACCTCTCCACTCTTAGAAGGCACATGGAGAAAGTGGCGCACATTCCAGTGAGAAATGTAAGCGTTTACACTTGATATTATCACTCAATCAAAGTGATATTATAAATCACTCAATATTAAGCTGTCAGAGTTTATCAGTGGTGTAGTCAGGAAGTTTCTAGTGCTACACCATTGTCTAAGAACTGACCAGACCACAGGAGGAGTTGTTAGTAGGTGTTCACAATTTCGCTGTTATTGTAGGTGTAGATTGTGATTTCTCCATTATCACAGGATACATATATTATGTATGACTTATTAGATTGCTATTTAAAATTGCTAGAACCCATGCAGTTATTGTCAAGCTATGACTCAAAACCTGGGTTTCTTAGCTTTTATAGGATTCTTGGTGAAGGCAGAGTGTGAAAGCTCTTACCTTGCGTTTCCGTTCCACGACATCACATGGGATTAACTATTTATAGGCTTTAATCCTTTCTAAAAATTTACTTCTCTTTATTAGCCAATGGAGTCATACTCATTTCATGATAAAATTTACATCAGCATACTCTGTAGGTTGTTCAATTCAACTTCTGTAAGGTCATTGTTATACTGGCTATCCATAGTCAACGTTCCTGATCATTGGGCTTTAAATAAATGACCCTGACTGATGAATCAGCTGATCTTAGTCAGTAACAAAGCTACACCGATCATCTCACATCATTCTACAGTCTACACTCATCCTTCGCTCATATTTGGGTTGAATACGCACCTAGGTAGTGTCCCCATCTCAGAATTAATTCATTGATTGGTGGATATATTACCGTGCTTTAAGATAGTTTGAGACCATGTTTGTACCAAGGAGAATCACTTTTTACAGGTTGGCACATTGGCTGGAAACCTATTTTTCAAGCACCAATATCCAAAATTTCCTTCTGATCTTTTTACAATATATGAGACAGTTGGAGCCAAGCTGATTATTGGTAAGTTAAAGGTGAAAAGTAATAATTAAGAAAGTGAGTTAAATAATTTTAGAGATAGTGATAGTAATTTATATGCTCGGTTTTTGAAATATACTTAGACACACACTGGTGATAGTTAGCTTGAGACAGAGCAATGTTCAGTTTAGATACATTAAATAAAAATTATCTATGCTCGGAGCTACACATATTATGTAAATGCAAATAAAAATCTTACGTTACTGTTATATTTAACTTTTTATAAATGGTATTGACATTTTCTAAATTATTTTTAGTGAATGATCCAAATCCTTATATTGTTATTATCTAACATCAACCTTTGGTTAAATAGTATCTATATCTATCTATCTATATATATAATACGTGAAGCCGTTTTTTGTTAACACAACTCCTCCCTTATTTATGGACCGATTTAAACGTTTAAGGTGTCAAAAGATTTGTCTTAATATGTAGTTTTGCAATAAGGTTTTAGAATTTTAAAATTCCTACTCTTTAGGGTGTGAGACCCTCTCAAAGGTCGGATTTTCTCCATAAGAAATACACAGAACAAATTTAAAAACAAAAAAAAGCTGTTTATAAAAAGAAACTTTTTATTACCCATTAGCTTTTTGGGAGTAAATATTAATGTTTGTAATATTGAGTAGGTTAAGACCAAGTTAAACAGTTAATCAGTTTTGTTGCAAGAACAGAAAATGCCTCAAGTTCAAAGAAGAAATATCCCCCCGTTTTCAGGGAGGAGGAAACAATTAATAATAAGATATCTTATGCGTATGAGGAGAGTAGAAAAAGAGAGGTCTCTAACAGGTACCCATCCAGATACACATTCACTTGGTGAGATGAATAATATTTGCCAGTTCTGCTATGCAACTTACTTTGGAAATGAAAAAATATACGAAACACATTCTGTTGTCACAATGGTAAAGTAAACTTGCCTAATGTCAGATCAAATGAATGCATGCGAGAAATGTTTACTTCTGACACTGACAGATCTCAAAACATATAGTACAAACAATAATAATGCCTTGACTATGATAAGTTCAAGTAGTAAGATTATACCAAATCTTGGCGGACCTTATGTTTTTATTGGAAACTTTTGTATTAATCGCTATACTTTAATTGAAAAAAAAAAACGCAAATGGATTGTTTACTTCTAGGTTATGTTGCCAGTTCCTTGAACAAACTTATACAACGTTTTTTGACTGAATTCACCAACACAAAACAGACATTTCAAGTCAAAAATAAGAAGTTTCAAAAACACATTTGCTCAAAGATTTAGCGGCAATATTAGAACAAGCATGAGTGAAGGAATTAGTGTCAATGATCGAGTTGATACGGTCAAGTTTATTTTTATTATGATTCAGGAGACGAAAATAATATACGCTGTTCAAAAAGAGAAAATGGAAATTGTTATCTAAATCTTATAGCTACAAGAGTTAGTAATCCAACCTATTTCGACAAATGAATCCATACTTTCAAAACTTTGGGACAGGTATAAAGAAAAACTCCACTGAACAATGTGAGAACGTTTTCATGCGGGGCATATTCTGTGACTGACAGACATCACGTTAAAATACCAACTTTCAATAGTGTTGCTACTTTAACCTATTCAAAGCAGATTATGGCTGTCCAGTTGGTAACCCAGAGTTTGTAAGTAAAAAATGGAGCACATGGAATGGTTGATATATCACCCCACTTTTCAGGATTCTCTACAGAAAAAAATTTGTTTGATTAGGGGGATGTCTCAAATCAAAGAAATAAAATGACCCAACTTAAATGACTTAATACAGTTTATCAATAAGGCAACAGTTTTCTTTATTTTTTAATGCTGGAAAAACTTTGTTGCAACATGTTAACTCGAAGTGAAGCAGATCGTTTAGCATTCATTAGAAGTTATCAGTTGAAACCGAGAGCAGAAATAATGTAGGTAGGTGAATGTAGGTGAACCTTGACGACGCAAATAGAGATATTTAAAATTAGTTTCTAACAAGTGTTTAAACAACTTTAAGATGTAACCAGAATTGGTCGAATTCAAGCATAACGTTTTCCGCGGCGTTATGTTTCATACTATGCGGCTCATTGAGCCGAACGGGTTCTCTAGTACCTAATTAATTAATTGATAACCCATCAAAAAAATATTTGGGACCAGAAAGGATCTCACTTGGAATCAAACAAAAACAAGTGACCTTCATATTTGAAGGAGAGCACTATAACTTGGCAATCCAGACAATTTTGAGAATGAGAATCAATTACTACTATTACTATCATTGATGATAGTATGGTAAATGTGTAACGCATGGGGAGATAAATTAAAATTGTAAATTAGTCCTGGCTTTTGAAGAGTTTTTGTAGTTTACAGCGTTGCCAATTTTGCACCTTTGAATCCAGTTATACCATAAGAGTACATAAATTATTGTGAGAAATTACAATTAATTAAATTAATTATTCTCATACTAAAGTTTCATTAAGCTGATTCCAGTAAAAATATTTAATATCTTTTGCCCTGAACATACTAAGTGGAAAAATCTATACCTATCATTATGGTTCTACTATCATTCAAATGGTTGAAAATAACATTGTGCCATATAAATTCCAATAACAGAAGGGACTGCTAAATTTTTAGAACGGCAAATTGCAAAATAAACTTCTATGGTTTATGGTGTGAAAGTCCATGTTTCTCTATAAAAAGATCAGGATTTAGACATACAGCAGCATTATTTTTTTAGTCTGATACCTACAGATAAGGTACCGGTAATTTGGTTTCAGATTCTGGAAGCGGTGAGATGTTAACAGTTTCATTCCCTGAGTTCCTAGCCACAGATATGTACAAGAAAATCATCACAAACATAGTATTTCCTCCTCTTGACTGCACTTATGTTGTTAGGACTTACAAGGTCATCAATATGGTTTTATTATGAGGCATGTTTTTTAAGTAAGTACCGTTTTTAAATTTCTCCGTTCCAGCGCTGCGATTGACATTTTGGACATTTGCGCTGTGTAGGGCCTATGTGCATCTATTGGCAAGCCTTTGCCAGAAATTCTGCAACAATTGGCCATGTTTACATTCGGTTTCGAGCATTCAAAATGGTGCCACAAATTATGAGACTGCTGTCGAATGTGAAGTGCGCGCTGTAATTAGATTTTTAAGTGCTACAGGTGTGATAGCCATTGAAATTCATCGACAGATTAGTAAAGTGTATGGCGAGAACATTATGAGTGGCGTGATGGTACGAAAGTGGGTAAGGGCATTTAAAGACGGCCGCACCAATGTTCATGATGAGCAACGCTGGGTGGCCATGTCATTACTGTTGAATTGGTACGTAAAGTCAATAAAAAAGTGAGAGAGAACAGATGGTTTACGATCTCATCATTATTCTATGAGTTTCCTTTACTCATAATGTTCACGCCATACCCTTCACTAATCTGTCAATGAATTTCAATAGATTTCACACCTTTAGCACTTTAAAATCGAATTACACTTGAATTGCACTTCACAGTCGGCGGCAGTCTCAGTTGGCGGCACCATTTAAAAATGTTGAAACCAGATGTAAACACGGCCAATTGTTGCCGAATTTCCGGCGCAGGCTTGCCAATATATGCACATACACAGCGCAAATGTCCAAAATATAAATCGCAGCGCTGGAACGGAGAAATTAAAAAACGGGCTTACTTAAAAAACATGCCTCGTATTTTAGAATACCTATAATTTGCACACAAAACTGTGTATTAGATTGGCAGCCTTAATAATATTGTGGACTGCAATTTATAAAGGTCTTATAACGTTTTTTAACCATTAAAAATAAAAGTGCAATTTTTACATTTTTATCACAATAATTGTCTATTAAGGAAATATAAGTATGGTTGCTATTTGAAATTGAAATCTCTTTTTTCACAATCACAGGAATGTAAAATAAACGGTATCAGTAATCTGACACATACTTTCTCCCATAAGCTTGTAAACAACCTTTATCGTGGGTAAGCAGTGGGGATAAATATAGGTTTGTAAGAAAAATCACAAAAGTTGCAATAACTTTTGAGATGTAATTGTTACAGTAATGGGGGTTACATTATTTTGTTTAGAATCATAAGGAACATAACACATTAATTTTAATCAAAACCGTGTTTTTTTTCCAAAATCAGATTTGTTGTAACTTTATGGGAAAATAACATAAAGACACAATAAATTTTGAAAAGTTTTGGGATTTGTACCATTTTGTTCGTAATCTAAAGGACTTTTAACATACTAAATTTTCATCAAAATTGTTTGGGCCATTTTTTAGAAAATCCGATTTTTTTGTTATTTTATGGTTTGTTATGGGAAAATCCCCATTAAAAATCAAAATTTACAAAAAATTAAAAAAATTCTTGGAGATACCATGGATTTAAATTTGAACTTACATATGAAATTTAATCAAAATCGCACTACAGGTGTGGTAGCTCTGTACCCATATCCACACACACAGACACACCCACACACACACACACACAAAGAAATCACTTTGAAAACCACTTTTTTGGGTTCAGGGGGACCCAAAATGGATATATCCAGTCAAAACTCAAACTCGAAATTTTTTACAAAAACAATACTTTCTCAATACTATGTATAGAGGTAGAAAGTAAAAGTAAGTATGATTATAGCTTGTATCCCAGATATCTATTAAAGTGAAATACAAATCAACTTTGATTTAATGACAGATTACCAAATATATAACAAAAGTGAATACAAATACAAATACAATTTATCAACCTAGGTTTTATTTTTGAGGTTGTTATTGCAACTCTTGTCTTAATGTTTAATTACTTTCCACAGGTATTAAGAAGAGCCCAAAATGACCATGCAATTGTCAACGCTGGATTCTGCTTTAGCTTTGACAAGGCCAACATTTTCAAAGTTCTAACTAAACCAAGAATAGTTTACGGAGGAATAGCACCAGACTTTGTAGGTGTTTAGTAATATCAATCAAACTCTTAACTATTTATTGTTGATATATGTATATATAGTGATGTCCATGTTTACAGAGGTATTACTCTTTGTGCTTTGTGTACGGTATTCTCTTTTAAGTGGGTTTGCATTGCATTCCCGATTCAGGATTCAAGATGTCGGCTCATTAACTGCAGCCATATTGTATTTCAGTCAATGTTAATTTCAATTTATCTTATAATAAATAGTCTTGAAACATAAGTTGTGTTTTATTCAAGATAGTATTAAAAAGATAACACACATAGCCCAAAGAGTAATACCTCTGTAAACATATACATCACTATATACATATATCAACATTTATGTTTTGGCACAATGCCTGATATAGTTGATAGATATCCTTTATACAAGCTCAAGACAGAACATACTTGGTGAAATTAAATTGAGTAAAAATAACTAGTTGATTAGGTACCTAAATGATGGTTTGAAATTATTTTAGAAAAAAAAACTACATACACACACATTCTGTGTCAAGTTAACAT